AGATTCATATTGTACAAGGATGTATTAGATGGATATTATAGTTTCATGTTGTAGAATGATGTTATGAGATGATGTTATGAGATGATGTTGTAGGATGTATTAGAAGGATATATTAGGAGGATGTTATATATTGATGTTATAGTCCCATGTTTTAGAAGAATTTATTAGAAGGATCTTGCAGATTGATGTTATAGATTCATATTATAGATGAATGTTATAGGTTGATGTTGTATATTTATGTTGTATAAGGATGTATTAGAAGGATATTATAGATTCATGTTATAGATGGATGTTATGGATCGATATTATAGGATGTATTAGAAGGATATTATAGATGGATGTTATGGGTTTATGTTGCAGATTGATGTTATAGTTTCATGTTCAGGAAAGATGTTATCAGTTGATGTTGTAGATTGATGATGTAGAAAGATGTTATGAATTTGATGTTGTAGAAGGATCTTATGGCTTGATTTTGCAGATTGATTTTATACTTTCATGTTGTAGAAGGATGTTATGGATTGACGTTGTATACTGATATCGTAGAAGAATGTCAATAGTTGATGTTGTAGAATTGATGTTATAGATTTATATTATAAATGGATGTTATGGGTTGATGTTGCAGATTCATATTATAGATGGATGTTATGGGTTAATGTTGTAAATTGATCTTATAGAAGAATATATTAGAAGGATGTTATAGATTGATGTTACAGTTTCATGTTAAAGAAGGATGTTATGAATTGATGTTGTACAGGGATGTTTTGAGCTGATATTGTAGATTGATGATGTAGAAGGATGTTATGAGTTGACTTTGTAGATTGATGTCTTAAAAAGATGTCATAAATTGATATTGTAAAAAAATGTTATGAGTTGATTTTGTAGAAGGATCTTATGGCTTGTAGAAGGATATTAAGGATTGATGTTGTATACAGATTTCGTGTAGAAGAATATCATGAACCGATATTCTAGAATTGACGTTCTAGATTGATGTTGTAGAAGAATGTTACGACTTCATATTGCAAAAAGATCTGCTAGAGTGATGTTACACACTGATGTTATATTTTCATGTTGTAGAAGAATGTTATAGCTTGACGTTGTCGATCAATGTTTCAGATTGATCTATTACAGTGATCGTATAAAGCGACCGCCTCGTGTTCTAGGTATAGAAATATGCGAATGGAAAGTCACGCATTACGTATTCGACGAGTTGCAAAACTGAAAAAGCATAGTCTCTCTAGATAACCGCGTTAAATCTCTCTCTCTCTCTCTCTCTAATTAAGGATACACATATTTCTAGACCTGTCTTCCAATGTTTTTGCATTACTTTCCCCACAAAAGTTTTCCAAACTGGTTCTTCAATTTTTTTTCTTTCTCAATCTTTCTGGTTCTCCAAAAGTTTTTCAAATATATTCTTCATGTTGATTCGTTCTCCAAAAG